CCAGGACATCAGAGCATCCATCGGTATCGCCGTAGACTCATCCCACTTTCTGAGCTGAAGAATTCTAGAGCAATGAGTTGATAACACCTAGCAACCTTCGGCATTCTTTATGAGACGGTTGCAAAACGATGGATGGAGGAATAGCATTTTCGGCAATAAATATTCAGCTGTGTAACGTGCTGCACAGCACTTTCGGTACCATATAGAATACCCGGACCTCGTTCTGCTTACCAATCTCTTATTTGTTCTGAGCTCATCTTCGGACAATTAATCCTCTCCAGAGTTTCGACAACTGAACTGGATCTTTCGGTTTACCTCAAATATGCAACATATTTCTACAGCAAACATTTCAGTAGCAGACTCCTTATCTCGTATAACTTTCCTGAAAAATTTTCAGGGAATGGACCTTTTTGGTGTCTACCAGTCTCGAAAAAATGCTGATGTTCAGCACAAGTTATCTTTGACAATCCTGAAACTGCGAATCAAACAGATGGGAAAAGACAAGGAGGCTCTACTATGACATATCTATGGATGGGACTAGTTGAGTCACACCGTGTTAGTATCGACGCAATGTCTTCGGTACGTTCACCAAACCTTCCTATCTAGGTGTTCTAGCAGTCATCAAGCTCATAGCAAGACGATTTGGTTGGCGTAGTGTGAATAAAGATGCAAGGGAATGAATGCGTTCCAGTATAAGCTGTCGGAAATCTAAGGTGCCTAGATACAACGCATGACCCTCAGGGTCTTTCAAAAATCCTGCCGCTCGTTTCGAACATATTCGCCTTGGATTGTCAGGACTGTTAATAAATTCTGGTTGACACCCTTATCTGTTATCATGTGTGGACCGTTCACCTAGATTACCAGAGGCGGTACACGTTACGGAATTTGATGCAGTAACAGTGGCCTGTGACTTCATTAATTGATGGGTGGCAAACTTTGACCGCCTTTCATCCGTCTCTACGAATCATAGAAGCCAGATCGATCCTGAACTTTTCCGTTGCCTTACCAAAATCGTAGAAATTATACGATTCTGAACGACCTCATTCTACCTACAAGTAAATGGACTGAGAATAAGATTTCACAAACAGTTGAAAGCCTCACTTCCTAATACTAATATATGTTCACATTATTTATTTTTATAAAAGTCCGAAAGAAATTTTCATGCCTAAACGTTTCCATCGTCTTGTAGTATTTGCATACACACAACGTGTTTTCTTTACACACATTTTATTTCATGAAACAAGTACGAGTGCATTTGTAGTGCCGTGCTTCCCTAATCGTTCACTTCGATGACCGTTAGAATATAAATCCTAACGGTGCATAAAATCGGAAGGCAAAGAGAAGCAACAACTATAGTTTATTGTCAAATAACGCAGGCCAAAAAGCTACAAGCACAAGAGCAGATATCGGCGAGCAAGCGAAAATAACGCACATTGCAGATGGCGGGTAAGCCAACTCACATTAATCAAGTGTTAATCAATATTTATAGTCGCATAAAAATAAGTGACAGACATTTGATAAATAGGATAACAAGTGTACACACACATACGCCCATATAAAAAATAGTCAGGGCTAATAAGTGATCAATTAACAAGGTCGAAACATGACTCACGATAGATAGGTAAATTGGCTTGTCCAAAAGCTAGAATAAGGTATACAGGCTTAACATATCAACCAACATTACATATTACTACATGAACCTGCACTCTCACATTCTTCATTCCTGGAAAACTGGAAAGGATGAAGAATCGACAGAATGTTCGACAGACCGTAATTTTCCGTGCTAGTGTTTCTACTGCTTAGTTATACGTAACAATATTAGGGGGGTAAAACCAGATGCTCCTGGACACAGCAAGCTTCGTGGAGTTCATAAACCCGGCTGGTCATGTCTTGAGATCAGTACTACCCCACCAAAGGAGGAGTAACTGTAGTGACCAATAAATACCCAAAACAAATAATATTGTAGGTCTACGACATTGATTCTTACCTGGTTATTTGTACTGGATATAACCTAACTGAAGGCTCTTGGCCAAAAATCGGCACCAGATCGTCAGTGGGGCCGCTGTGCTACGTATCCCTTACAAATGCTAGACAGATTAAATAGAACGTTCCTAAACACATCAGAAACTCCTAAATTTGTCTTCGATCGCATTCATCCCTGATTTCTGATCTACCTGGGTCGGTTTCTTCCGAGTAGAAAGATGTCATGAACTAAAACGTAATGAACCTCTGGATTCCCGTAGCACCTGCATCATAATGTTCTCAATATCTATATAGGCCCACTGTGTTATTAGGATCTTAACCATACAGGAGGTTACGAACAATATCAAACAACAACGTACTCCTTAGACAAATATTGAAACACTCTAGCGTTGATAATAAGACAAGAAAAAAACTGTTTCGTGACTGAAAGCAAAAACAACATCCGGCTACCTAGTATAAATTTATTGTTACAAGTGATCCATTAAGAATGTTAAATTTAATTGCTAAGCCAGAGAAAAAATAAATATCACTTAATTCTAGTGTAGCGGTAAATAAATCCCCAAAATAAATATTTCCGTATGTGTTCGGCAATGATGCAGATTACATTAGTTTTACTGAACACACCTGCCTGAAGGCGCTCGGTCACGCATCCGCCCCTGACCACTAATGGCCATGCCCTTCGAGAATGATCGCTGTCCAAGCTAAACAGGAAAAAGCTAATAAACAAAAAGTTTTCTTCTAGTCTGTCGTAAATATAGGATCTGTCAACCTGGAAACGTAAATGGAGGAAACCTCTCAGTTGATAGATTGAAAAATTCGTAGACTTCAATTTCTTTGAACTAGGAGTTGAGTTTATAAAATTCCCACAATCTTCAAATATTCATCTGATAAATGGACGGTCAACAATTTCGGTCTGTAGCGCAAATAGAATTGAGAATCGCCAAAAGAAGGATGTCACTGGCCAATACAGGTGATTTTATCAAACCACATAAGAGCTATCAACTGGACAAATCGTTGAATGAAAATAACATAAAGACGGAGTGACGCAAAATATTATTCATCTGTGTTCACTTAAATAACACTGCGTCCTATACAAATAGTAGATCAGGGTAAATGTTTCTTTGCTCTGAGGTTGTGATCACTATGTGCACTGTCCACGAACAATCAGCATGAAGCCATTAACCTTCTCAAGGGTGATGAAATGTGAATGAGTTAGGTGATCTTCGTACAGATTTATTACTCTGTTGTTTAAATGAATCAACTGCATGGCAAGACATTGTCTGTCCTTCCACTATGTTATGAAGCCACGAAAGCCCTTGACAACGGGTATAATTTTGGCGAAATTGCAGATTGCCTCAAATCGAGATTTCGACTTAAGAGCATGTAACGTTATCCTAGTTCAGTTACAGTGAATGGAAACTAACATTAAAATGAGGCCGGTGAATGCATTACACGGATAATAGTTTCACACATATAAGTTCAACCAGTATTCGTCTTCAAATAATTTCAATATGTGCATGAGATTAAAAACAGAGCTTTAGTTAAACGGACTTATACTAAGTAGAAGTTCCGCCTCTATAAGTTATCGCACTCCTATTTGTATCGAAAAGCAAATTATTACTTCACAAAGCGTCAACAAGTGAAATTCGATGTATTATGAAAAAGATTCATACTTTTCTTCTAGTTAAGTGTATTTAGAGGTTGAAAATATATCGCAGTTGTCAAAGTAACCAATGAGGATTTTCGGATCCTAGATGTTTTCACCATTCACCTAGCATCAGTTGAACATTTCGTGTTCGTAAACAAACTATTTATTGAAAAATCCGAAAATATTGAGTTGCCTTACTGCTAACAATGACCTGGTCAAGATGAATCCATTACTTATGATGCATATTTTGAAATAGAGATTCTGTCGGTTTTGAGGATCTTGTTTTCATCACTCACCATTGTCTGTCTAAAACTATATTGCTGCTTGGTGTTCTTAGAGCTACTTCAAAGTCATACTGTCCGATAACTACCTAGACTGGTTCGCCCTGAGGGAAAGCTATCTTGGATCGTTAGTGCACTTAAGAAAACCAAACAATCTTACCTTATGATCGTTTCCCTTAGATAGGAAAATAAAATGACAACGCAAGAGTAAGTTGATAAGCTCCTACTGATTCTACGAGAAATTTTGTTCAGTAGAAACACCTGGATTTGTCTGCAGTACAACCACTCAAATCTCGGAAGATATAAAGGGTCTCTCGGCTCGACTGCATTCGTCCAAGCTCCCAAGTGAGCTAAGTCACAAATTTCACGTGATTAGTTATGTCTGACCTTACTGGATGCCAATCAGCAGATATATTTAACCAATTCACACGCAGACATGCTATTCGAGTTCTCCTGAGTTGTTGACTTGGCTGTCCGGTTGACGTAGCCGAAGAAGGTTGCTTTCATGTTTTAAACTGCATATCCAAGCACTGTATCTCTAAAAATGCCATTAAGATAACTGTAGGATTGTTAGTATAGAATCCACATACCTAGAAGATTAGCTTTTCTGTGTGATGATCTCACTTGCACCACTCAACAATTGCGTATAGTTTGTAGTGGAACCAACAACAGTATCAAGCGTAAGAAAACGGTTCTACTTTACAACACCGAATTAAAATAATTGTGGTCCTGCTGAAATAAAAAGCTCAAAAAAACAGAAAAAAGATTCCTGTGTTACGAAAGTTTCGTTCCCTTCTCTTTGTCTCATTTCCCTTAATTTCTGGAATTCTAGCAGTGGCTTTGACTTTCGTTATTCGCCAACGGAGCGTTGCTCTTCACAGTAAGGAGAGATAACCAAATACCGACGGACATAGCAATTCATAATAGAATTCTTAATAACAGCAAGCCTACTCAGTTGAATTTTCCGACTGATTGTCTCATGGGAACTTTATTACCACCGTAAGCGAGTGTGAGTTTTTCGTGCAAATAATTCTCCTTCGCATTGATCTAAGTGAAGACTCATTTTGTCAGTATGATAAATTACTTTCCACATTTAAGTAATCAGTGATTATACACTAATACGGCCGTAAATATGAATTAATTTTAAAACATTAGTTTGGAGAAATTGAGGCGCAGATTACGACTTGTGCGTTACGAGTCGACATGGTATAGTTGTTCTGCTTGGTTTTTGACCCCTTATTCTCTGTTACACTGCGGAAGTAGCAAGGTACACAATCATTTGATCGTCCTTTTTCATATCTTACGCATTTGACTTGGCTTTTTCACAAAGTTGTTGACTATCTCGTTACGTCAGTTCCTACTACTCTTACAGTATTTGCACAATGTCTTTCATTCGTTTGAAGGTATATCCTAGATCAAATCACTCATTATCGAAGATATAAGTCCCGCACTTCCTTAGCTACCTACGTTGGGTTTCATCGTCAAATTTTCAACTGTTTAACGAGTCATTTGATAAATAACAAACGTGGCTGGATTTACTGACTAAGGACACCATCAATTGTTGTCTGTTATAGTCTCCTATTATTTCCTCAGTCAACTAGACAGTCGCAGTTATTTGACGGTTGGGGATTCGTAAATTACTATTCGTAACCTTATCCTGTCTGACTCTGTTCACTAGTATACACTTCTCATAGAGTTGTGGGTACAAATGTTATTTCAAAATGTCGCACTATGACTATTCCTGACATAATTAGCGTAACCAATATCCTCGTACGTAAACCCCTCTTTTAGCGTTATTGATCCTTTGTTATATAATACTTTGCATTATTTCACTACGAAATACCTTCAACACTGTCCGTATTTCTGCGGCCATGTTTAAAAGTTGTGAATCAGTCCAAGGAAAGTTTATTCACAACCATTTTTTTCAATACTCAGATATCTCACTATGTGATTAAAACCAAATGATGGTTTCTGATCCATTAACTTCCGAAATAATAAAGCTCATCTCAAACAATGTTTGGTAGATTTTACAAGCAGTCCAGCTGGTGGAGATTCAAATACCTACCCATTAAACTTTGTTTTCCTAATGTCAAGCTTCACTACACCTTACCTTACCTCAACCTACTAGGCCTGTCCTCCACAAGTCCCTGCCAGGCCTTCACTTTCTCTACTAATCTGGCTTGATGTTTAACGTGATATTAAAGTTGCATCATGTAATAGGAGTCAGTTGTTTGTGTAATGAGTCTCAGAAAAAACGATTTACTAGCTGTTGAAATCTAGAAAACGTTTTGCACGGCCTTTGCTTCCGATTTCGTACAATTTTTTTCGCAGTATTCAAGCTGCAAGCGCTATAAATGTTGCAGATATTTAACTAAAGAGCCAAGTTAAGATTACTGGTTGTGTTAAATAGTTAGGAGACTTCACTACAGCATCGTTCGTAGATTCAAAATTATGCACAGAATATAAATACTACCCTATGAAATTACGATCTTGGTTTTGTTTACTGTTGTATCTTTAAGCCCAGTTTAATATCATATGAATTATTCACCAATCGAAATGCGACTTGTACAGTCTTAGTACTGCCCCACACCAATGGTGTTCGACCGATATGAGTAGCCCAGCGTCCTTATTGACCCTTTTTCCTCCTAGCCTTACCAGTTGAGTCCGGAACGCAAACAACAGCTTCCACTATGCGAATCATTTATTTCAAACATACTTGGTTTATATACCAGGCAAACAGACCGCATCACACCATAAAATAGGAAGTAACATTTATACAAGATCAAGCCAAAAAGTGACTATGAACGTGGGAGACTGTCATTAATAAACTGCATATAATTTAAGAATAGTATCATAATAGTCTATAGATCAAAATAAAGCTTGTAATAAGAGGAGTATAGATATACATAATCGAGTTACTGAATAGTTATGAAATAAGAATATGTATATAGTACTAGTCCACTAATAGTTTTCAGAAGTTACCCGTAATTTAATCTTCACTAGGACATAACACTATTCCTTTTATTTCGCTACTTCTTGTCAATATCTCCACCTTCATAGATATACTAAACATGGTTCGTCTTTCATTTCAAGCTAATATATTTCTTATTTCTACTTCAGGTTTTTTGTTGAAAAGCCGAATTTACCCTAATATGTTATGAAATGGAAGGCAAATACTTCGATCTTTATGTTCCTTTTGAGGCAATGAGCGCGCATCTCCTTGCACGCTTGCTTGATTGTGGTTATCACTATGTGGCGGTCAGTCAGTCTGTATCAGTAGATGACTTCAATTTCGAAGTTAAATCAGACTCCACTACAAGAAAGAAAAACAAAGAGGAAAGACAAGCTATGCGCCAGAACCTTATTGCAAAATTAGAACCCCCTTCTCCAGATGTTCTTCAAGCTTATATTAATGAAAGCAGTGTATTCAGAGCTTCTGTGTCATTTCCCGCTATATCATGTAGACCACGAATATTCACACGTCTGACGATTTATTGCAATAATGCTGAAAATGCTGGTTTGTTCTTCCGTCAATTTGAAGATAAACTTGGTGCTTTCGATATTGTGAGCTTCTGTCCTACTTCCAATAACGCTTTCGCATATGCATGTGAAAAGGCTGTGAACATTGATCTTATATCTTTAGACCTTACAAAATCAAGTGAAATTCGACTGTTAAGTAAACAATGCAATTTGATGATGTCACGAGGTATCCACTTAGAATTCCAACTTGCTCCGGTACTTCGCTCTTCCTCTGGAACTTATAGCGCACGTTCAGTCTTATCACAGTACTTCAGCAGCTTACTCTGCATAGCACGAAAGTCATTCACAAACATGATAGTCGTCAGTTCCGGGGCGTCAAGCGGATGGGAAGTCCGTCGACCAGTGGCGGTATCTGCAATGCTTGGTTGTCTAGGTCTGCAACCTCAGGAGGCAACTCACTCCTGTCTTACCAAGGCGCCTTTCGCGGTAGTGACTCATGGTCTTATACGAAGCAGAACAGTACATGGTGCAGCTGCACTGCTTAAACTTTTGTCTATGCCAAATGTATCTTCTATAGTTGTTAAACCTACTGTAAATAAACAATCTACAGACGAAGCTAGTTGTGTAGAAGATCAATTACCTTGTAAGAAGATAAAACTAACTCAGTAATCCTGGTTTTTTATTTGATTATTTACACAGGACGTACATTTCTTCATGAGAGAAAAACTGGCAGATTTTGTTACAAAAATATCTTTCTTCTACTAATTCCATCATCTTGCCAAGATAAATAAGGCACAAATATCAGTCGCTAAGAAAAAGGGTCGAATAATTCAATACATGTATATGTAAATGTGGAATTGGTTATCGCGAAACTCCTTTAGAGTAATAGGTTTCTCGGTGCTTATACGTGACTACTCGTTGGTGTCCATTACGGTCTATGGTCTTAAATTCACCAAACCGGACCAGTAAGGTAATCAAACATCTAAATCGATTGTATTTAGTAAGACAAATTCTTTAATAGGAACATACTATACAAACTGTTGTCGAAATGTTAAGTGGGTTAAGTAAACTAGTATTTCGATTTTTTCAGCAAGCCCGGGCGCCAGTACAGTGGATGTGTTTCTTCCGTCTGAAAAATAAAACATAAGTAATTGATTAATCCACAAAATGCTGATGGTGTGGAATGAAGCTTAGTTAAGAAAAATTTTTAGATCTCGTTTTTAAACGTTGGACAGCAACTGCGTGTTCCAACTACCTTAGTCAACCAAATTTCAGCCTCAGCAACTGATTTGCTGTTTTGAGACAGCATTTAGCCTCAACATAACCCACTTGGTGATTCAATTATATAAAGCAAATGTTCAGAGGACAGCGTTGGAGTAGCCTGTTTGCACAGTGGGTACTAGCACTTCGACATAGATAAGCCACTGTGGCAAAGGTCGAGCGGTCGTCTTTATCCAGACAATCAGAAAGCAACACAGGACCTGAAGAACATGTCCCTCCCAACTACCATATTTATCAACCACAGGGATGAATACCAAGGGAATGGTAAACAAGTTAGTTATGTAGCGTTCCCCTTTGTAAGGTTATGTGTATGAAATGTGTCCTCATCGTATACGATCAAACCAACAATTTGAAAATATATGTTTTTGCACTCCACTCTGTTATTCTCAAAGTTATGAAAAATGCTACACGACAGTAAGTATAGGATGCTGAAAAAACAGGATCCTCACCACTTCGAGTTGTGTTGATATTCGTAACCAATCCACTGAAATGGATATTACAGATTCCTTATTTCGATAACTGATCATACTGTGATGCTTATTGACCGCAAGTTAGATGTTTTTCCACTGTGTGACTAAGAACCCTGAAGAAAAATTACGCGAATTTTGTAAGGAAAGATTTTACGGAAGTAGTCACACTTAAAATACTTATTGAAAACAGTTACAGACAACTTGAAGTGGAGTGTTAAGATTATATATATATATATATATATATATATATATATATATATATATATATTAATGAGTAACTACTGTCTCCGCGTCTGTATATACTACTTTCATTCTAGGCTCTCGAATTCAGCATAACTTTAGTCCAGTAGGATGTAGGTCAAGTTATTATGAAAGTATGCAATTTAGATAACAACAAAAAGCACAATTACCGCTGATTCATCTTCTTTGAAGATCTTTATTGATTTGTCTGCTTCACAGGATACCAAGCGAGATCCACTACGATCAAATGCTAAAGCAAATATACCAGCTTCAGAATCGATGCTGCCAGGCTGAACTTGAGCTTGAAGACGCTGAAAGTTATACCCAGATTTCCAATCCCAAAAGTGAACACTGCCATTATCGCCTGAAGTAAACAGAAAAACCAATGGCAGAGCTCAATCACTTGACCAGGAAATATATGAAATAGACTAAAAACTATTTAAATGACCAATACGTACACAATGATTCTATTAGGAGTTGATTTCAATAAACTACTGGAAAAAAGGTATGCATATGAAAACTAGTAAGTACCTCCACTGACGACCACATTATCTTGGTTAACAGTGATGGCATTAATGATAGCATTATGTCCAGATAGATTCTGAAGAAAGACACCATTGGGGAGTTTCCATTGTTTTATATTATCTGGTGATCCAGAAACAAATGCATTCCTGAAAGATAAGAAGGCATTCAAACATCAAATAAAACTTAAGTTATGAAATAAATTAACTACAACTATTTTCTATCTAAGAGATGATTAATTTACGAACACAGCAAAAAGACACGGGTGTTTTAGTTGTAAAGTTACTTATTGTAACTCAATGGATAACTCTTAGTATCTGCGGTACTGCGATGCAAGAACATACTAATATCTTTATTAAAACATAATAGAAGTCCTGAATCCTGGCCAAGCAGCCATGAAGCATAGCCAAAATGTAGAACACTAGTGTGAAGAGCCAACATGATTACAAAAATGAAGTTTCAAAAACGGGGGGTTCCCATACGCTGCACTATTGAAAACCAGGAAGAAAACTAGCAAACAATCTTAATGCGACCCTGATTTTAGTCTAATGTTATGAGTGACCACACTAAATTTGCGTTTAAACAAGTAGAGAATTAAAAGTCAAACTCCTAAGGAACTTACTGAGTTGGATGGATACACACAGCTCGGACAGATTTCTTGTGATTTGTCAGACAGGCTATGGTACGTCCTGCCGCCAAGTCCCAAAGGCGGACGGTCGCATCATGTGACCCAGTAATCACTTGAGGGTCAGATTCTTGACAACGTACTGTTGCTACTGTGTTCGAATGTCCTGTTAGAGTATGAACATTGACCTGAAATAGAGGTTAACAGTTAACAACTTATTACGCAAAGGGAGGGAATTCTTTTTCAAAAGCGAAACTACTTAGAATCCATTGTTATCAGAATAGTAGGTTATAATCTCGAATCGATTGATAAAAAGAATATTTTTCAGTTGGTTATCTTTCATTACAAAACTAATTGTAGAGGCTTTTCACAACATTTATAACCCGTTGCGCAAAGAAAAGGGTGACAGACGTATGTGTTACCAAAACGAAAATTATAGAATGAAGCTTTCCAAAAAATAACATAATTACCTAGGATGTACGAACTAGGGGTGTTTTTTCGAGAAAACATTATCCTTTTGCAAAGACTTTGTGTTCTAGCGATAAAATTGTAAAAGACAGAGGCAATGTTATGTGACCTTGAAAGTTACAAAAAGGCTGACTAACTTGACCAGTTGTTTCTTAAACTCCACAACCATCTTTCAATGTTTGTTTATTTATTTATTTAAACACATACATATTGGTACAAAAGGGCACCAGATACATATGCGCCACACAAAATAATAAAAGTAGGAAGAGAAGGGATGAAAAGATAAGGCGGACTGAAATGTACAACCAGAAGAGCTCTTTCAGTTAAGAAAGTTAGAACCACTCTTTATGTAGAAAGTAAAAGAAGGTTACAGCAGGATCGCCACTGGCTTCTATTCTGAGCCGTATCTGATAACGTCCCTAGCCACTGTGTTGCACCATCTCTCGGACCGCAGCCAGGGAGTCGTGAAGGACCAACAGAAGCTAGCCCTTTGCAACTTTCTTTCATGCCACGACACCATGTCATACACTGACCTCCTCTCCGCATTTTCCAACCAGTCCCAGAGTCGGCAAATAATGCACGACGTGGAAGTCTCTGGGACGACATTTGTAAAACATGTCCAAGCCACCGAAGTCGGTGTTTCAAGATGGTGACACCAATTGAATTATCGTCTCTGCACCCGAACACACGATGCCGAACCTCTGCATTACTAACATGGTGTTGCCACTGTATGTCAGCAATCCTTCGGAGACAACGATGATCGAACACAGAGAGTCGTCTGACATCCTCAACTCGGAGAGGCCAGATTTCACAAGCATAGAGCAAAATTGCTCTCACCGACGCGTTGTAGATCCGACCTTTTACAGCCAGACTAACATCACGAAGGTGCCAAAGATGGCTCAGATTGACACAAGCCGCTCTGGCTTTCATTATACGTGCATCAATCTCATCACTCACGCCACCACCAGCACTTATATAGCTACCTAAATACACGAACGTCTCAACTACTTCAATCTGCTCACCATCCAGGGTGAGTATAGGATGAGAATCCTGCCAGTCTTTTAGGAGTACTTTGCACTTGGAGGGTGCAAAGCACATATCGTACCTGCGGACACTGATAGCCAACTGATTAAGTGCGGATTGCATGCCTTGGGCATTATCGCACAGTAAGACAATATCATCCGCATACTCGAGGTCGAGAAGTCGTTCTCCAGGCAACATATCCACACCGCCATTACTTACATCCATCAGAGCTGTTTCCAGGATGTCGTCGATGGCAAAGTTGAAGAGGGATGGTGAGATCGGGCAACCCTGCCTAACCCCACTGCTCGAATGGAACAAGGGAGAAAGGTGGTTGTATGCCCTCACTCTGCCTGAGGTGTTCGTATACAGGGCCTTTAAGATGTTAATGAACTTCTCAGGCACACTCTTCTTCAATAGACAATCCCAGAGAACAGTCCTGTCCAACGAATCGTGACAGCCCTGATAGCAAGGAATACTACGATTGTTGGCCTGCGATAAGTATGATGGTGTTCTAACATTTGGTAGTAAATAATAATAATAATAATAATAATAATAATAATAATAATAATAATAATGGTAATAACAATCATAATAATAATGTAAATTGTCTTTCTTCTATTAGGAATGAGAGCAGTGTAGTGAGTCATTTCATGTCATTTGTGTGTGGGCTGTGATACTGCCCGGGTGCCCAAACCGAAGCAGGTGGTTTTCTTAGGGAGCCACCCCCCGAGCCTTTGACCTAAAGGTCTGATCCACAAGGCGGTGGAGCATCGTGAGGAGATACAGTCCCGTGGTAGCCGGTGACCAACGGTTGGTTCGTACGCCATTTGTTCCTTCAGGATACTGGAACCCATGTGCAACATTGGTTTGGAATCAGGGTTTTCCAACTCCCCTTTGTGGACTCGCCGTGTCCACCAACCCGGTTAAAGCGCCGAACATTCGCTTTTCGTCCTCTCACTTTCGTAGACAACACCCCCACCACGAGAAGGCAGTGAGTAGGACTTCCCAGGCAGAGGCTATATATTCGCTGGCCATGTGAGAGCATTTCGAGAGGGAGAGCGGACTCTCCCCACTCTCGGCCGTACCAGGGCATTTGGGGGCTAATAAGTAGTTTGGAGTGTGGTTTTGAAATACCAAAGGTAGAATTTTGCAAGCTCTTGGTGACTGCTGTCTCATGGTCAAGTAGAAAGGCTGGTAACTGGAATACAAGGGAATCTAAGGAATAGAATGGTTTGTTAGCAAACGTCAGTTGTTGTTGATAAGCACTACCTTCTCTAACATGTGGTAGAAAAAAATGCCTTGGTACGGCCGAGAGTGGGGAGAGTCTGCTCCCCCTCTCGAAATGCTCTCACATGGCCATGCGAATACATAACCTCTGCCTGGGAAGTCCTACTCACTGCCTTCTCGTGGTGGGGGTGTTGTCTACGAAAGTGAGAGGACGAAAAGCGAATGTTCGGCGCTTTAACCAGGTTGGTGGACACGGCGAGTCCACAAAGGGGAGTTGGAAAACCCTGATTCCAAACCAATGTTGCACATGGGTTCCAGTATCCTGAAGGAACAAATGGCGTACGAACCAACCGTTGGTCACCGGCTACCACGGGACTGTATCTCCTCACGATGCTCCACCGCCTTGTGGATCAGACCTTTAGGTCAAAGGCTCGGGGGGTGGCTCCCTAAGAAAACCACCTGCTTCGGTTTGGGCACCCGGGCAGTATCACAGCCCACACACAAATGACATGAAATGACTCACTACACTGCTCTCATTCCTAATAGAAGAAAGACAATTTACATGATCATTTTTGTTGTCTATCCGAGACCCGTATTCAAGACTCTAGTGAAGTACTACAAATTCGCTCTCCATCTGTCGCTTCGAAAAGCTTGTTTCACGTGCGTTTATCCGGGGACTTTGTGGCATCTTCGTCCGGTCTTGCTGGCGTTGGCGTTGCACTAAGCGCTAGAGCTGAGGCAGCACTAATCGATTGGATCCCCATTAACAGTCGGTTATGTGCTGTTAGATTAGAAAGTTCCATCAAAGTGAGAAGAAACCGGCGTGAGAAGCAGTGTCTTTTCGTCATCTCCGCTTATGCCCCGACAGATTGCAGCCCGGATGCAATCAAGGATGAGTTTTACCACCAGTTAACAGTTCTCCAGAAAGCGCGTTCGACAGATATTGTAGTATTAGCCGGAAACTTGAATGCACAGGTCGGGCGTCTAGGCACAGAAGAGAGTCGTTTAGGTGGCCGATGGGGACTTGTTGGTCGCAGGACAGATAACGAGGACCGTTTGCTGCAACTGTGCACAGACCACAACTTGTTTCTGGCTAGCACTAACTTCCGGCACAGTCATCGCCGGTGTGCCACCTGGCGTCCTCCCTCTGCATCTCAAGCCTGGACTCAGATTGATCACATCGCGATCAGCTACCGCTGGCGTGGTTGTGTACAAGACTGCCGCTCCTTTTGGAGTACCTATCTGGAGTCTGATCATGCCCTGGTCTGCGCCAATCTCACCTTACTTTTTAGTGGCCGAAGGATTGACTACCACCAACGGATCGACGTTAGTAAACTGGCTGCAACTTCTGTTGCAAGTAGGTATCGAGCGGAGCTAGCTTCTAGGCTAGCTACCATCCCACCGAAAAGTATAGATGAGCATTGGTTGCATCTTCACGACGCCATGAAAATGGCGAGTAAAGCCTCTTGCGGCTTCGCGAAACGTCCCGCTTACAAGCACCGGGTTTCTTCTGACTCCTTACAACTGATGGAAGCCCGTCGGTCTACTACGGGTGACCGTGAGTATGACCACAAACGAAGGCTGTTACGTAGTGAAATCGGGCAAAGCTTGCATAAGGACTGAGAAGCCTGGTGGTCGGAGCGTGCTAATGAGATGGAAGCAGCAGCTGCATCTGGTAACTGCCGGAAGCTCTTTCAACTCATCCGAGCCACTGGTAGCAAGAAGTCTGGTGTGAGTGAAACAATCTACGAGGATGACGGGATGCCAATCACTAACATCTCTCGACGTCTTGGACGATGGGCGGAATTTTTCGAAGGGCAGTTCAACTGGCCTGCTGCTCCGGCAACATCAACCAGTTTGTTCTGCCCCCCCATGGCCGGTGACGACTGATCCACCAAACGAGGCGAAGTCCGCGAGGAACTCCAACTCATGAAACGTTACAAATCACCGGGCCCAGATGACTTACCTCCAGCTCTTTTTAAAGATGGTGGTGACTTTCTGGCTAAGGAACTGACGGTGTTGTTTGCAAAGGTTTGGGAGCTAGAAAGTGTTCCAACATCATAGAATGAGTCGACAGTCGTCCCTATCTTTAAAAAGGGTTCACGTTGTTCCTGTAATAACTATCGGGGGATAAGTCTACTTCCGATTGCGTCCAAACTATTGGCTTCTATCATTCTTCGTAGGTTGTTTAAAACCCGAGAACGATTGACTCGCGAGGAGCAGGCTGGTTTTCGTTCTGGTCGAGGATGCATTGATCACATCTTCACCCTCCGCCAAATGTTAGAACACCGTCATACTTATCGCAGGCCAACAATCGTAGTGTTTCTTGATATCAGGGCTGCCTTCGATTCGTTGGACAGGACTGTTCTCTGGGCACCTGGGCAGTATCACAGCCCTCAAGCAAATCGAATGAGATTTGTATGGCGCATATGTATCTGGTGCCCTATTGTACCAATATTTATGTGTTTAAATAAATAAATAAACTACTTATTACACTTCAGGCGTTTTAGCCAATATAGGAGAAATGCTTCAAAACTATGAAATCTTGTGCTTCTTGTCTTTAAAATCGGCCGATATAGGACTCAAGCTTGATTATTCATGTGACTATATTCAGCCAGTGTAAGAATCAGCACAGTTCACTTTTAGATTACCTGGGTCCTTGATGGTAATGTCTAGTGAGATTGTACTTGTTGGTAGAGCATTGAATTACAAAAATAGAATAGTACACTTTTGTTTGTGCTCTGCGGGAGTAATCATAACATGAACTAAGATAGAAACAAAAGATGTTATCTCTTCAAAGTCTCTGTTTGTGTCGAATAAATGACATTGGGTAAGACTGATAAATGACTCATTATTTCCACAGCATATGTCTGAGTTCTTAATTTTCTTTAATTCAATTACGTAATTGTGTAAACACGGACTAACGCAACAGCTAATTTTAACTTAGAGATAAGAATGCATACAAGAACTTATCCAAGCATTTGGTGAAGCGCGAAGATTTTCGTTTAAAGATAGCCTGGTACGATTTACAGGTTTTCCTAAAGACTGAAATATAATCTGATGACCACACAAGACAAAAAGTCATGGACGGCCAAAGTATACCTGGAGATTCTGCTTCATTAATGTGTGCTTTGAAACTCATCCTTGTGTGTATAAATTAGCGAAAAGAACCTACGGCTACAGTAAAAAAGTGTGCACCATGACTGTGGGTGGCAGTTAACTAGACTACACGAAAATGAGTGAAAACGATGGTGACAAAGAGCACTTGAAAATTTTTTCCGATTTATCAAGCGAATTATTGGCGAAACTGCTATCAAAAACGACTAATTCACTCTTACACCAGGTGATTAGAACAGAAGGCAACGAAATTTAAGGGGTAAACCAGTCTTAAGCTGTTTTACGGTTTCGATGATCTACCGGAATTGCTGAGAGGTTGACTGACCTCAGCTTCCACCCATCTGAAGAGGCTTAAACGTACTGGGTTGAAAAAAGAAGCAAGCCTATGTAGGTTGGTTCTGCACATTTTTAAGAGGGATTGATTACAATATTGATTAGACTGACTAAGGTATTGGTTGGATTTTGAGAATCAATCAGTTTTAGCCAGGGGGATCTAGTCGCTAAAGTTTATAAGAGATAACTTTTTAATAAACGTCATGAGGTTAGTTTAATTGCTACTTTCCTCCAAAGGGCAATCGCCTAATCATCACCAATGATTCATTTGATTATAAAGAATGAAGTAACTAGAATATTATTTCGCTTATTTTAGGAGTTCTACTTGTCCTAACACATTGGTGGCTAGTAAAATCTTGCTAGGAAGAAAAAGAGAGAATTCTCATGTAAAGATTTATGCTAAAAAGTAAATCTGTTTTCAGAGAGCAAATAACAATGTTAACTTGAAGGAAAGATCAAACTCCTTACACTTTAACAACTTACTTTGGTTCGCATGTCCCATACTCGTGCAGTTGCATCCCGACCACAAGTAAGGACCACATCGATTGTTGGATGAATATCAATATCGTAAACAGCAGACATATGACCATGATAATGACGAATAACCTTTATATTTAAGTAAATATTATAAAGCTCATGGGTACCTTATTCTGCTCCAAATCCCAACAACGAACTGTTTTGTCTTCTCCACATGAAAATAAGTAAGGATGACGAGCACTGACAACAACACCTCTAACTGTACTTATGTGACCTGTCAGTGTCAGTTTTAATGTCCCACTAGCAAAGTCCCAAACCTAGATAAATAAATAAAAGCGAATTAAATGAACTCTATACCTTGATCATTCGATCTGCTGCGCCAGTAACAAAGAAATCATTAGTAGGATCAAAAGCTACACAGCGCACCCATCCTGTGTGACCACTGACAACCTAAAAGTTTTTGGATAAAGTAAGTAGCACTGAATTACTCGACATAGTTTCCATGGTGGATGCCATGTGGGTTTGGGCATAGTAGGAGCTTTCTTTGGAAGCAGTAATTTTTCATTACCTATTTGAACTATAGAAGCGTTTTGTTCAAGTGCAGATCTTTAAAAATATTTATCATATAAACTATTGACTAACTTTGGTTTGACCTTTTCAGATGGAACAATAGCTCCCGGTTGTGACGTGTCAGGGACATCTAAAATAGATGAGACAAACATTCACTTACTTTCTTTAGGCTTTAGTGGATTATGACCAGGCTCCTTAAGTACAGGTCCATACTGATCTTTTGCTTTGATAGCGACCTTTAATGAATTACTAAGCAGAATAATAGACAATACCAGTTATTTACCTTTTCTCATCAACTTCCGGAAGACGACTTTGATCAGCTTCAAACATGTCATGTGTTCTTTTGAGAGAGCGGAAAACAAGTGTGTGTACAGAGTGGCGCTGAACCACCTAAATTTCCAACTTATGATCCTTTTTTATAGTAACTAACCTCCATTTTGCAGAATCAGGCTATTAATGAAGATGAACAGTTTATAGTGGTTAAAACAAATAATCTACTCGATTAGTAAATGATATAAAGATTCCAAGTGATGGTGAAATAGTTGGGACACAGTTGTAAAAGCCTACGAGTTGTTGGAGGCATTGTGATGTTTATTGTTAGTATTGGGTGCGAAATCACTTGCAATTTAAATACTGGTTTTATTCTGTGATATCAATTACTGGATTTATTGAAATCTGCACTTTTATACAGTTACTGCCGAGAACTTTAAATAGTTGTCTTAGATTAACATTCTAGAAGGTGCAAAATATGACGTTTTACTAGATGGGAAAAGTTCAATAAGAAAGTTTCACAAAGTGAAGTAACACAGTAAAACGAACTTGAATTAAGTGAATGAAAGCAATTTTTCAAGAATTCGATGAAAAATATGTCACTAAAATTTTATTGTGGCTTAAGTTAGATCGTTTGTTGATTGCTATAGAAATATACGTCCTGGCTACCCTTGTATATAATCACTGACTTAACTCGCGTTAGTGAATAACGGAATTAAAGTCGAACACATGTATTTCATACAATCGTTGATATAAAGACAATCAGGGAGACGCAACGAAGGAAGCGGAGAGAAATGGATAAGAGAAGTTATGTGAGCCAATTCCATTTGACTGGGTAACTCATTATTTATAGTCAGACCAAAAACAAGTTAGACGTGCGACAAGTAGGATAAGTATTACACACAGAAACGCTCACATGAGAACAGTGAAGGTTGATTAGTGAATAATTAACAAGGTCAAAATGTGACTCTAAAAGAATGGATAAATTGGTCTATCCGGAAGCTAGAATAATCCATCTGGGCTCGACAAAGTGCTAGACAATACAACATCACTATAACTTCACAATTGCTAAAATATATTAACTGATGAACCCAATACGAATGTCTACCTCAGAGTTTACATAAACAACCAGTGACATTAAACTTAAGTGTTTTACTTCAATTCTAAAATTTAAAGGTTTTAGCTTATAATGAATGATACGAAGTTTGTCTCAATCAGTTATTGCATTTGGAGGTTTACTCCGCCCTCTCAGTAATGATAACAAACACACTGAAATGATATCGCGAGAACAAACTAAACTTTTGCAAAGCAACAACTTATTATAAGCTTATCACGGCGTTTGAAATATATTGAAGGTGAAAATCTAGATTGCTAAATGGTTTTACAACGCCACTTTCTATAATTAGATGTAGCATCTGGTTTAGTTTCTGCGTAATAAAGTTGACATGACGGTGATCAACTTAACAAACTCTTCAGAAGACTAGAAAACCAGGGAGCATCGATTGGAGTGATATAGAGAAGCTTTCGGAAGCTGTATAACTAAGTAACAAAAATGTTCATGCGCTGGATAGTTAAAAAAACAGACGAAACCTAAAGCTTACTGAGAATAAACATAAGAAACTGGAAACTCGATGGTGATCCTGATACATTTGATGAAATAGAACTCCGCAAGTCAACCTGTAGTTTCGCAATCCGGAAATCCAAAAGCGACAAGAACGCACCATATTATTTTTACCTTAATTATCGAAGTCATTGGGCTTTTGGTTGGGGTTCATGAGTAGGTTCTACGACCAGGTTCTTGAGTAAAAGGTTTGAAAACTATGACGAACCTTAAGGAAGCAAAACAGTACCACATTCCCCACGCTTCACGCAGTCTTAGAAGGATAAAGTTAGAGAAGCATGTACAGAATACACGCACGCATTTGAAGAGAGTACACGGGTCCAATACCCTTGCAATATTAAGCTAAGTTCGCCTAAATATATGAGAAAACAAACAATTCAAATAGATGACTTTGAAATTGATAGTTTTTCCTTTGGCTAGGTCAAAACAACTTACAAGACACATCAGGCACTTTAGGAGCCCATAATAAAAAGAACCACCGTGCCATACAGCTTTACCGTTGAGTAACAAACTTTCAGAACCTAGTACAGGAAACGCAGTATTAGTCTCCGATTGATTGATTTAGGAGAGTATTTGACAAATATTAGGATACTTTGAGAGAGATAAGGAAAGCCTCTGGTGTCATCTTCACAGTACAAATCCACATCATCATCTCCAGTATACTTATAAGTGCAACAATTTGGTATCGACTTGATATCGTGAGCAAATTACAAATAATAAAAATATTTAAAGTTATTAATTCGTTAGGTGACCCATCAATTAGCACAGTTAAGTAATACACACCCGAATGAGAAGCTTTAGACACAGTAGCGTAAAAACGTGAGCTGCGAGCCATGAAAAATTTCAATACCCAATATTCAGTCTTTCGTGGCTAGTGAATGTAGACAAAATTGTTTTTTGAATTAAGTTATCGGTTTCAGAGTACAGCTTTAAAACTTTGATATCGTTTGAGGTCGTTTGTCTTGTCATTTGTTGCTGAGAATGAGAGATGTAATTGGCTAAATAACTTAAAATGATGGCCTATTCATACAACTTTTGCTGTTCAAACTTCCTCAACAGGTGCAAGCAGTTCTTGTCTCGTTTCAAAGAACGCCGTGGATGAGCTGGCTGCATCTCCTGACCGCATCCTATAAATCATGAAGTCTCCTAATGCCAATATTTCTTCAGTCGAAAAAACCTCAAACGACCCAGAATGACATTATAGAACTATGTCATACACTTACACGATTTCGTAATGACCGTAAACGGTCACATACCTTTCAAAGAAGCGGTTTACTTGGGCGATCTGCCTCTAGACCATGGGAGACGGATAACCCCGAGTGGTGCTGGTATCATAACCAGTATGGAAAGTCCTCCAGAAATTGCAGAAGACCGTGCAATTACCAGAACTCAAAATTGAATGACATGAAAAACGATTCAGGAAACTTCTCAGTCGTCAAGCGTTAACGGCAACCGTAGCCGGCGAACAAAGTCATCTGTTATACGTCACAGATGGGATCACGGAAGTTCTCTACCTCTTCGATACTGGCGCAGAAGTTAGCGTTCGTCATGCGAATTCTAACGACAGACTTCGCGAATCTGTTTTATACTTACAGGCGGCAAACGGGAAGCCAACCGCCATACGAAAAAAGTAGCGTTTACCTTACCGTGGGTTTACGCAATCCATTCACTGGATCTTCGTTGTTGCAGATGTTTCTATGCCATCATTGGTATAGATCTCCTACAACATAACAATCTACTCATCGATACGCGCAAACGGAGGCTAGTAGACGGAAACGTTAATTTATCTGCTTGCGTAACTTCTTTGCAGATTATTTCCAGTCACAACTAGTTACACAAAAGACCCATTCTATCAACGATTACTCGATAACTACTGTGATATATACGAACCGCAACCGAAATTTCGTGAGCAATTGGCAACGTTAAACGTCACATCACGACTACAGGACCTACTGCATTCTCGAAAGCACGGCGACTGGCTCCCAATAAGCTGAGGTTAGCCAAAAATGAATTCAACCACATGATAGAGTTAGGAATCGTTCGACCGTCAAACAGCCCATGGGTATCTCCTTTGCACATGGTCCCTAAAGAGGACGGCAACGATTGGCGTCCAAATGGTGACTATCTGCGTTTGAATGTAAAAACCATTCCCGATCGCTACCCGTTGCCTCACATTCACGATTTGACAAATACCTTGAAAGGTATAACTGTCTTTTCGAAAACCGACTTAGTTAAAGCCTATAACCAAGTGGCCACTGACGATATTTCAAAAACCGCTATCATCACTGCCCTCGGTCTCTAAGAATTTTCGCAAATGCCTTTCGGGCTATGAAATGCTGCCCTGACTTTCCAAAGGTTCATAGATGACGTTTTTCGAAGTCTCAACTTTCAATATGCGTATGTTGATGACTGATAGCAAGTCCGGACAGAGAATCCCATCTCCAGCATCTGGATATTGTGATCGAACGACTGCAAAAATATGGCATCACTGTAAACATTATTATTATTCACAAACACCTTATGAGTACGTAAGTGCTGTGAAGAAGCCATTTCGGGATTCTTCAAAAATGCAATACTTCACAATTTTCAATAATGTTAGCATTACATATGCCATGTTTGAGAAAGGATGGAAAAGGAAAATAAAATATTCATAATAGAATAGTAATAATAATAGTAATAATAAAACAGGTTCTGCGTAATTGACAAGAGTTTTGAATAGATTTTGAAGGAGGAAAGGAAGAAACTAAGGAAATAGAAATAAAGGAGTCGCGGAATACGTAAATATCTTAACGCAGAACAAGAATAAACAAATCAGAACGGACTCCTTAGATCTCCCAGGACACACTACTGATGCTCAAGGCAACCGACCTCTTAGAAACAAAGTGGCGGCCATTCTGTGTCACCGAGAACCGACCACCATTAGGCGATTGCGCACATTTAACGGCCTTGTAAGTTTCTGTAGATGATTCATACCGAAACGCTGATTGTATATGAAACCTCTAACCGACCAACTTCATGGAAAGGTGAAATCCATTATTCCAGACGACACCGCACGAAAAAACATTATCCACAGTTAAGGAACTTATCATAAAGGCGACCATGCTGGCACATCAGGACACTGAAGGGTCTATTCGTATTGCAGTGAAAACATCTGACTCAACAATCGGAGGCGTTTTACAACATTGGAATGACCACTCTTAGCAACTTTTTTCCGAGACGTTTCCTAGACAGTGAATCGAGGTTATGCAATTTCGGTAGGGAACATCTAGCCATGTATTGTGCTGTACGGCATTTTCAACACTTTTTCGAAGGCCGAAAATTCACTCTTTTTACTGATCATAAACCCTTTACTTTCAAAGCAGCATATTTAGAAGGAAATCCTATCCACGTCAATTTTCCCTCAGTACAATCTATCGACAAGGCTCCTACATTTATAATTACTCATCCGACAGCTAACACGCACGTTGATACTTCGGCAGTATCTGAAAATAAACACCTAGTTCTGGGGGAAGAGTAAGATTTCCAGAACATTTAAAAGCCTATTGCATGTGAGAAACCACATCACATTTTGCTTTATCTTGATTTTTCTTTGTATTGTATATAATAAAAAAAATTTAATATATTGATACTTACATACTAATTCCAAAAAAAACAAATAACTTTTTGGTAATATGTGTTTATTTGTTTTTTTTCATTTAGAAACAATTAGACAAAGTTTTTAAAACCATTTTTACGCCATCACAGGTGTATTAGTTTATTTACCTTTTTTCTTCTGCTTTGCGTCTTTACGCGCGTGTGAGCGTATTTCGACATGCACCTGCACATTCTTTTATTCTTTTCCAGGACGTCTGGAAAAGACTTTAAAAAGAACGATGAAGTCGACGAAGAGCCGAAATTTTCATTTTACTTTGTTTCCTTATTACTATATTGTACTTCATGATCCCTCAATGCTAGGAAAGACGACTAGACGCTGCTAAACACGGCAAACTATCAGAAGAGTGTTTACCAGCGACAAACTAATTGGGTTTAAACGTCTAGCTGGCCATGTCGTAGGCTCATCACTACCTCACTGGGGGGGGAGTGATCCGTAGCGGTAAATAAATCCCCAAAATCAATAGCTCTGTATGTGTTCGACATTGGATTCTGACCACATTAGTTTTAATGGACTCACCGAGCTGAAGGCACTCGGTCATGCATCCACACCGGTCACGAGTTGGAACGGCGTGTTCAACGTCTCCTGCGATGACTAACCAGTTTGGATCAGCCACTCCTCCATATATTGATAATCTATGAAATATGCCTTCCAACCTCCTCACTTCTGACTTTTGATTTCATTATTTGGGTGTGATTCAATTATAGAAGGTATTACTGGTAAAGTGTTGTCAAACTACAATACCTGTGGTACCTTCAGGAAGCTTGATCGACCTCCTTCAGCTGATTCGTTCTTATTTTATTTAACGAGGTCAGCATCAATGTCGAGGATTCACAGGACTGTTTTTTTGGGGGTTTACTTAGTGCTACGCGTCTTCTACCATGAATGAATGTATTTCACTGAATTTTTCTAAGGAAAACTCTCAGCCACAGGTGTGCACATAAAATCCTATACTCCTCGAAAAACTGCCCTACCTAAAGAGAAAAGTCTACACATTCTGAAAGTGCATTAAAAGTGTGTCCGGTCAGTGATAACAAAGTGTGACTTCACTTGTCTTTTAGCCCTTTGGCAACGATTACCCAAGGAGTCGCGGTGGTAATGTTTTAATAGGATATTTCAACTCAGAATATATTGTGAAGGTTTGAGTCTTATTAAAGTGCTTTGATGTACTAGGAGAGCATGCATTTTAGTATGAGTAAGTAGAGTCGGAAAGGAGACGATAGAGAGAAATGGTGGGTAGATGACCCAGGTAGCGAACACAACGCACTTATAGTTTTAGTATGGAAAGCAAACGACAATAAGCAACAGCAACACATTCCTCACATTAATGCAATCTAGAATTCGAAACCAGAGTCAAATAGTATAACCAGCTAAATTATATCCCACATATTTTTTCGACTTCCAGCCTTCAATGTTAGCAAACGTGATTACACTTGTGACGGTGTTGCAGGAAGTACACTTCGTTTGTTTTTCACCGACAAACGTGTTAGGTGATGGTAGAGGTAAATCGTATCAACCACCTTGTTTCAAACAGTTGGATTAAATATTACGGGATCCGGGATGTGGTGACGGTTAGCCTATAGCATATATAAAGCCATGTAATATTCAGCAAAAGTCACCTATATTCCCCTGGATAAACGATGAATGGCAAGAAACGTGGAGAGGTAAATAACGAGAGGTGAATTTGAATGATTATACGTACTACGATGAGGGACTAACTATTTTCAGACAAATGTAGTTGAAAACAAGATGTTAGAATTTTCAATTCGGTCTGAAAGGTCTTGAGATGTTACTATGATTTTTGAATGACGTAAATCTATTGGTAATTGTGTTACCTGCAAAAAAATTCATCAATCCATATTTCAAAAATGTCTCATTTCCGAGTTATGTAGCCGAAACTCTTGTGATTATTGTTTACACCGGTATATTGGAAAACAGGTGTTATGGTGAATAAATTTTGTGAGCCTCTGAGAGCAATGCTAACTTTTTTAAATTCTTCTTTGCAAACCCTTTCGCTGAAGGCGATCAGTCGAGGATCTGTACCAGATCATGTCCGTGTACATAACAACATTTTTTCCAAAATTTTAACTCCCTTTAGGTAAAAGAGGTAGGAACTGATGTCCATGTGGTTAATGGAAAAAAGATACACACTTGGTCATACTGTATAATTTCGTTTTAAATAAACTTTTACTGTTCTCATTATTTTATGAGTTAATTTAATCTATGATTAAGCAATGTATATAATACTTAATATACATAGCTTATGAA